TTTTTTTTTTTTATTACATGTAAACATTATAATTACACATATATTTGTTTATTTATGTGTATGTATTTTTATGATGTTGACATCATAAATATGCATGCAGCTAAATAAATAAATGAATAAATAAATGTATAATTATGAATAATGTTCCGGAAGTTAGCTACCAGACACGAGTATATGAACACATATGCATACTGTAATATATATAAATATAAATATAAATATTTCATTATAAAAATATATACTTGTGTACATGTATATAATGTAGCTCCAACAGTACCACGAGAATCGGCAATCGTCTTCTGGTGAGTTCATCATTCAGTTTCATGTAAGAAATGAAACTCTCCCCATCCATAAACATGTCACTCTGTGCGTATGTGCAGCATTGTGCATGTTGGCATTCATTTATAGAACATTATGTTCGATGGCCAAATTGCCGCCTATTTTTGAGTTGAATCACTCGTCAAGCAAAAATGTGAGCTTAACGGACCCGTGGGTATGTCCCATGTGAGCCGAGAAGTCTCGGAGATTACGCACTCCGAGACAGGGTTGACCTTGTAAATGGGATACCATCGAGGTGTAGACACTTGGAGCCATTAATGTCAGTCTTGTACCTGTTTCTTGATTGTCTCTTGACGTGAGCCGCTCGAAACTGGTGCACGCAGAGTCTATCGGGATGAACTGGCGAAGATGGTAACTTTGTCCGAGGCATGACAGACGAGAGTTAAGCACGTTTCCATCGCAACCGAGCATACAGTTTCGGGAAGAACAATGACAACAGCAGCCGGGATGGTATCAGCACCGTCATTTCACCTCTTCAGACGCAATTTCGCACAAACCGAAAGTGAGCTTGACGTTAATTAATGCAAAGAAGTGTTTAAAAATACCTTTTTTCACTCTATCAAATCTACAAAAAAGATAACCAATTCTGCAGATCACCTCATTGCCTGAATGGTGCCTGCAGCCAAGACATGTCGACACAGTCGAACTGGTCTGTAGACGAGTCCCGTACAGACGGACTCGGTCTCGAAGACAGCCCAGCGGATTGGAACTTCGTGTGGCTCTTCTCCTCGACAGTCGTCCTCAGCCGCACAGTCCCTTATCACGACCCCAAAACAACAACAAAGCAACAACAACAACAACAACAACAACAACAACAACAGTATTGGAATGGGTTGACTTCGTTTTCGAAACTTGGTTGGAAGCACTTTGTCCCAACTCCTCTACTGTAGATACGAAGAGAAACTTGGTTTCGATGAATCTGCTCAGATAACATTGTTGGGCGGTCTGCTTGGCGATGCTTCTAACTTCATTCACATTCTTCCAGCATGTTGGATTCAGCTCATCAACCAAACCAGACGTACCAAATTACGCAACCCCAGTCATGCTTTTCCTTGAGGGCTTAAATGTTAATGACCCTAGACCGAGAGGTTAGGACAAGTGGTTTCGAAACTTGACTTACATGCTTACAAGTTCATATTTCAACCATACTTGCTTACGGACTTACGCAGACTGAGTCAAGGTTTTCTTTGAGGTTGTTAGGCGTTGATGATCAGAGCCTAACTTTAACCTTTTGATAGCCCTGATTTACGAACGGTATTGCGTATAGACTCTAACACACACGTACGCATACACTCGAGCAAAAGTAACAGGACAAGTATGAAAGATAATTAGTCATAATTGAGTAGGGTTTCGGGACTACCAGTAAATCAGTGTAATGAGATGTATGCACCCTATTTCGTCTAAGCTGATGAAGGACTGGTAGAAAAAGAATTTTCCCACAATCATATGAGTTGAGCTGATGTTTCCATTCAATTTCACATAGCCTTGCCGAGTGGTTAGCGTGTCAAGCTACCGTCCTGCACTGTCGCGGTTCGAATCCCGCT